TACTAATCTATTTTCATTTAGTTATACGAGTTAGTTGATTTAAACCAGCGGTCYTTTCGTTAGCCCACATTTGAGTTCTGTCTTATAATTTTCAGTATTCTAAGGGCAATTTCTCAATATATAGTTAAGGGGTTAACCAGAACTTTATAGGCAATAAGCTAAAAAATGAATTTCTCAATATCAGCTTAGAAACGATCTGTCAGTTAAGTYCTGGTAAACTTTACCAAAAGAAGAAGTATTGGTTAGTTTTTAAGCAGTACACGAAATGATAGCTGTCAGCTCTTAAATCTATATCAATCAGCTGCATATACATACGGAGTTCAGACGTGGACTTTTTTGCAGATCATACAGTATATTATGCATATTTGCATAACGTAATGCTAAACATAAATATTCTATTGAAACCGAGCGCTGTTGCAACCATGAAAGGAATTTCAAAATGATGAAGAATGTCTCATCTGAACATGCAGATATATGGCTCATGACGTTTACACAACTTTGCCTGTTCAAAATCCAAGTTTTGTGAACAGTTTTCTGCCCAACTTGGTGAAAACGGTTCTATCATTCAATCCTATCATCCAGTTAAGCTACCAGCGATTAAGGACCAGAATAAAAGCCAGAAGTTTATRGTTTTTTTTGTTAACCTTCAATCAGAAAAAAGGAAGAAAGAATAATTTTCCAATATTATGTGTTTGATATTTTTGCTTTTATCATCGAAATGATGAGCAGTAAAGAGGCAGATTTGCGCGCAGCGATTTACGTTTATTGTCTACAATTTACTCAAAACGGATAGCCCRAAGGGGTCGTTAGAGTTTGCTGAATAGCCAGAAATCACACGGAGCTAAATCAGACGAATACRGTGGCTGCGGAAMGATATTGGTTGAAAACTTGGCGAAAAACTCRCGAAGAATCAATGTAGTGTCTATGTAGTGACGGTGCATTGAAGTGGTATAATAACYAAGAGCTGTCGGCCCATATTTCTTGCCAATTTTTATGAACAGCTTCACGCAAACGATGCATAACACTTAAATGGTAYTCCTTGTTTAAAGTTTGATTGGTCGGAAGGAATTCGGACTACAACGCACCTCAATAATCGAAGAAAACTGTCAACATAACCATGTGTTTTGACGTGGTTTTTTCAGCTTCGGCTCACCTTTCTCACGATATYGGGCCGATTCATCGTCTGTTTCCAGATCGTAAGCATAGACACAAAACTCATCGCCAGTAATAATACTCCACAGACGTTAACGTGACGCTATTTTTCGAAAGAATTGAGTGATTTTGGAACCAATCGTGTTTTCTCTTTTCTTAGGCTCAAATGAACTTTCAAAATCGTTTTCACTGATCATTCCAATATTCCAACGWTACCAGAAAGATTTCTGACTGTTAATCATCGATTCTCAWGABCAAATTCCTTTGTTTTATTAACGTGTTGATGGCCGTCCTGGATTTGCTTCGTCGTCAATACGTTCTCGACCCTCTTTGAATAATTTTTACTAATCAAAAACACTTGCTCGCGGTGAACAATTATCACCGAAAGACTTTTTCAACATTCTGAAGGTTTCGATAGCAGAAATTTGATTTCGCACACAAAATTTAATGGCACTTCTTTGTTTAATAATTTCACGCATCGTAAAAATCGCCAAATGCACTTATGTACTTTAGAAAGACATCGTATATTAAACACTAATGATTTACTTAGCGAGATTTCATGGTTTAGAGGTTCATTATATTATGGCAAAAAACAACAGATTAGTATTAGTACCTTCTTTTGTACTTATTTCGAGACACTTTGGTAAACCGACAACAAATTGAAGATTTTTGATTTACTTCACTTTATTCAAATTTGTCTTTTAAATTTTTGTTTTCTATTATTTTCACAGTGCTCTCGCTCGCAAATAAAGTTTGTGACGGCTTATACTTATACTATAAATAGTTGAAATACTGAACTCAGTACCTTGCATATGACCATATATCCCGCAGAATCGTTATCAAGGCATCACTGTAAACATAATTTCTTAATTAACATTTTATGTTTGCTTGTTAAAATTATTAAAACATAGCATATATTTTCAATTAAGATTCATGCTTTAAACTTTTCACAGTTGCTAAAAACAATAAGCATTTGAAATTTTAACAAAACGATTAGAAATGCTGCTGTTTGCAAAAATTAGTTGGCAAGGTACACACAATTTTAAAACACCAAAAACACATTAAAATTTGCGTCAAATCAATAATAGGTATATTTATAAAAAAAAAATTAATTATGTATTTATGCCAATGTCAATGACATATTGTATCGAAAACAACAAAAAAACACACACATATGAAGTTAAAAAATAAGAAACAATGCGAATCTGTGCTCAAAAGCAGGTGAAAAGTGAAAAACCAACGGCGAGTATGCAGCAATTGCGGCGACCGACCGACTGGCCGCACACGCTTGCGCCGTGCACATCGYCAAAAGCTCGGCAACGCCGTCAAGTGTGTAGCTATAGCTGCTAATGAGTGCAATCTGYTCACCTTGCWTGCAAGCTGCCATTTCCGACTGCTGTGCTTCAAGCGTTTACGCGCCAATTTAGAGGCGAAAAACGTAGATGAAGATTGCTAAAAAACTAAAACAGTTAATTAACTGAAAAATATTAAGATTTTCTTTTTAATTAAAACAAAATTATATACTTTTAACGAAATTATTATTTTTTTGTATATAAAAAAATTAAAATCTTTTAGTTGTAAAATATGTATTAAAAGATAATATAATCATTAATAATATTTTTAATTAGTATATAAATGATTTATTATGTGTTTCTAGGTTTCAGTTTAGGCGATGAACTGGGCTTCGCTGAATCACTCGGCAATGTAGAGGGTGAACCGGAGCGACGACGCGCCATTAGCTATAAAAATGGGCCACCACCCAGCGCTGCAGGTGTAATGCCTGCCACACAAAAGCCGGTAAGTTCAACGTCATACATTTTGAAGGCACAAAAARGTTAACAAACACTTAAATATACTAAGCTGAGAAAATTTGCCWAGGCTAAAATGTTGTTAAGGTCAGCTGTGGTAATATATTTTTTGCTTCCGTTTTTCACCTTTTAGAGACCTCMGTCGAACTCTAAGAATACCTTAATMGATTTTTTWAATTTTTTTGTGATTTTTTATATTTTATAAGAATATAGTAACATCGAAGATTTATTTTTTATTGCTGCTGTACCGAAATCTACATATCTATCGACAGATTAAAGAGCGAAATAGAAATCTTCTGTAGTGAATCATTCCCAGAAGATAGCTTTAAATTAAATTACTAAAATTCAGTCAGTCAGACTGAAATTACTGGCATAGCAAAAGATGCCCAGTGGGCTATTGCTCTAAGCAGCAAGTCCATTAATCTTCTAGTGGGCACATAAGCAGATAATAAGGCAATTCGTAGCGCCAATATCTACTCCCACTGCTTTACGTTATGCAAGCAAGCAATGACTAGACTCTCTGCAGGTAACTCGTTTACTCATTTGGGTACCCAATCATATATGAATAGAAGGAAATGAAAAGACATACGAGCTGGTCCGGGTCTAATCTGCCCCAGACTACTCAGCTCCTTCAAAGGTTGTTTGGAGCAATGGTTTGGAATATGGTTGATGATGAACATACCAAACAAAGTGGTCATCGGCGGGCACCTCTTATTAAGATCCCACCTTCAAAATTTATGTGAATAGCCAAGAGCCGGATGAAACGAGATATACTCTCCCAATGCTCGGTGGACTGCTGGGGTGTAAAAAATAAGGTTTTCATCCAATTTACTGAGTTGCCGAATAAAACTTAATTTGGTTAGYAATGAKCCTAACTATGGTTTAAGAACGGYMMTACTCGGTCTTTCCAASTAACGGAAGCATTCCTCTATCTTTMCTGTCCSTAKTTCAYYCCAYTTTAAATATTATACCCACATAATTCAGTAAAAAGCGCTKACATTCTTTATACCTTTATCCTTTTATTGWTGAAAATAGAGATTACGARACAATTCGTCTCGTTATGTTTTCGGGAGTGCATTTTGCGGAGAAATAATAAATATATTAGACCACCACGAAATAAAAGGAAGTTTTGATTGCAATGACAGTTTGACAGATCGCTTCATTTATCAACATATCCTCCACTTCGTAGAAGAATTCTGTCTAGCACAAGAGAGCTTCCACTTCAAATGTAGTTGGCTACTAAAGCAAGTATGAGAAAGTATGAGATCACAGCAATTCCTGGGTACTTATAGCCTGAAATTAAAAAAAAAAAACGAGTTCGAAGGTTATAAAATGATATTTTTGTTAACCAAGAAAGGACTTTTATAAAACTTGCTCAGTGTAGATTTCTTTGATGCTGCCAAAGTAAGTTTACCTGGAATAATGTTGTTGTAACCAGTTACTTCTGGACCAGGATACAATAGAGCTGATTTTTTTATTTGATAATCGAAAGCTTCACTCTCCATGGATTTTGTTAGCAACTATTTAAGATAAAAATAAACTAACAACTTGGCTTAGCAGAGCAGTTCAGATGTGACACTCGAATATTTTATATGTCTGTTCGTCTGTCTATTCTTTTATAGACCGTGTTAGAWTTACTATTGCCAAGTCTTCAGAGCAACATAAATAAATCGTATGGACCAAATATCATCACCATTATTTAAAAAAGAGAACCTACTTCGTGCTCATAAGTACATCATGGTCCACACATAATTTCCAAAATATTTGAATAATATTGTAGGGTTTTAAAATATAGGGTAGGCCAGTGCTGCTCTCAGGATCATGGCCTCATATCGCAAAATAATCCACAGATAAATATTGCTATATTTTTAATATTATTCGATGAAAACAGATATTTATGTGAACTAATGCAATATCTTGACTSCCTTTCAGCCAGTACAGCATCCCATACCCGAGAAACGTATTGGCGCGCGAGCCTCTCCAAACTACAACGCCGCTTACAGAGAGAATCTTAAGCGTCAAGTAGCGCCAACACAACTAATGACAGAGGCGAGACCTTTACCGTTAGGTGTGCCAGCATTTCGACCCATACCGAAAACTGCAACTGTGCCCGTAGCACAAATGGCRCAGCGACGCACGAATGTCGCAGTGGACTCACCAAATCCGAGAGTTCGCCTCAACAACAAGTTGGTAGAGGGTTACTCCGATCCAATGGTGAGTGTAGAAGTATTTYAATTTTAAATACTATATTTTAATTWAAATTATTTATGTATATAGAACTCCAATCGTACATTCCACGTCGCGAACCCTTCTGTCTCGCAACCGCTTGCAGTGCCCGCCTTCCAGGCAATGCCTAATTCGGTCGCACGTCTCGCTGCCGTTACAAAGTCCCTMACTAATGCAGAGGAACGAATTATGCATGGGCAGCCAAATTACTTGCAGTTCGAGGAACCGAAGTTCGATTTGAAGGATGTGACGGTGGAGGAATTAGCCTCGGCGGCCAATGTCACCGTGGACACAATCAAACATGCAATCTACGTACGTGAACAACAAATGAAAGCCGAGCATCGTGCTATGTTGGCGGCTAAGTTGCGTCAAGAATTCGTACGTACTTCGACGACAGCACGTACTACGACAACAACAACGCCAGCACCGTTACCAGTAGCAGCGATTAAAGCACCGGTGATGAATTGGGCCCAACCACAGAACGAACTCGATAGTCAGAATATCAAAGAGAATGTAGCTTTCGAGAGTAAGATGTCAAAGGTATGTAAATTGGATGTACTATTACTGTTTCCTAGAACTCAATTGAAGACTGAACATTCTAACTGTCCGTTACTTGACTGTAAGAAGAAAAGGGATTGGTTAAACTTTGACAAGTACTCTGTCTTTCGAGTTATCGATGTTTGCTAATGTTGCTCTTTTATCTCTGTCGAAAGTCATATGCGAGTTTTCTGAAATAACTCAATATGTTGGATATTATAGAGATAAAAATTATCGAAAGAGTTAAAAGAATATTCCAAATTTTTTTCATAGGTCATGAATGCACCACGCGAATATTATCCAGTTGGTTATGACAAAAACTTCGATGATAACTTTAAATCCAAAGTTGATCTGCCACCGACGAGTTTCTCATGCGGCAAGCAAAAGCATTTCCCAGGWCTCTATGCCGATACAGATCTTGGTTGCATGGTAAGAAACAACGCTGCTAACTAAGATAAGACAACCTGGTCCACTATATTGTATATTTCTTGTTCAGGTGTTTCATGTTTGTGCGCTCACCGATGATGGACTTGTACGCAAATCGTTCCTTTGTCCAGAGAGCACACTCTTCGATCAAACAATCTTGAAATGCAACTGGTGGTTCTATGTGGATTGCAGTGCCAGCAAAAGTGTCTACGATTCCAATATACCCATCTCTAAGAGTTATCAGCTCATGAAGTCGCTCACTTACTTCTCCAAATACAGCAAAAATGCTGACAATGAAGGCGGTGATGGCGGTTTGGATATACAAACACTCAAAGATTCCATGGCTGAGGAAGAGAATTCTAGRGCACGACGCGTGGACAGCGATGATATCTATGTGTCCGATAAAGCGCGCAGTTTTGCTATACATGTWGAAGATACAACCACTGTAGCGACGGAGAAAGCACAAAGTGACGCTATAAGCCCTACTTTGAAGACACGTAAAGTCGAATTTAACAACGATATAAAAACGACGGCGGATGACTTGCCAGAGGGCACCACCGAAGTGGATATAATCACACCACAACCTGTCTACGATCGCCTGGCTGAGCTGAAGGCCAAGTTGGACAGCATCAAGGCGGCAAATGGTCAGACCACAACACAAGAAACGAATGAAGCTTRAGTAAGGGGGGTTGAGCGCTTGTTAGCGCTATGCAGGGATTAAAATTACTAAGTTAGTGGAAGTGGTGTTACGAAACGGAACCTGCGCAAGTTGGTGGTGCAACGGTYGAGTTATGTAGTATGAAGCCGTCAAGTATGGGTTTCTTAACACTGTTTATAGGTTGTTAAGTAAATACGTCATTCCTAAATAGTCATTGTGCGCATTCGAGAAATWGAGAGAAAATTATATAAAAAATTGTAATTAAATAGGGGGTATGATTGTTGCGCCAGCTTAGTGTTAAGTTTTCAGTCCGTAATGTCAGACACACAACATCAATATAAAAAAAAAAGTAAAAAATCAGCGTGTGTGGGAAATTCTTGGATATACCTATAATATGAACGTACAATTACATGTAATGTAACTTATTTATTATTTTATGTTTTTTAATAAAAAAATATATTATACAATAAATTGTGTTTGTGAATTTCGTGAGATCAACTGTGAACTGGGGGAGTGATGAGTTAGCCAAGCATCAAGAAAAAGTTATTCTATGGTTACAACTTTATGGTATATTTTTACCCTGTAGATAAGTGTTTGAAAAATACAGCCAACGTCTATTGTTCCTTAGATCAACTATTACTGATCTGGATTTCTTGTCAGCGTGATATTTGAAAGGTCTCATTTGGGAGTATCTGCTCCTTTTCGAAGTCAATATGGGTTGCTGAATTTAAACGTGGTCGTAAAAGCCTTGAAGACGATCCACGTGAAGGACGTCCAAAAAGCGCAACAACACCGGAAATCATAACCAAAATACAAGATATAGTTTTGTAAGATCGCCGATTGACTGAGAGAGACTTAGTACGGGCTCTACACATCTCATTATGCAGTGTGAGCCATATTTTATGTGAAATTTTGGGGTTTTTCCCTAACAATGGAACAAAAACTTATTCGAATGAGACTTTCTCAGCAATATTTGGAGCTTTTAAATATAATAAAGTTAATTTTATGCGTCGACTCATCACTTTGGATGAGAATCGGGTCTACCACCATGACCCTGAATCAAAACAAGAGGCTAAAGAGTGGTGTAAACTTGGTTGTTCGGTTTCGAAACGAGTTCGTGTCCAAAAATCGGCCAAGAAGGTTATGGCATAAGTTTTTGGGATGCGAAATTAGTTTGTGGATTAGTTKCAAACTGGTAAAAAAATAAATTTTGAATATTATCGCAACCTTTTGGACGAGTTGAAGGAAAATATTCTTGGAAAAAGACCTGGTTTGCAGAAGAAAAACATCYTTTTTCATCAGGATAATCCACCGTGCCACAAGAGCATTTGGACAACGGCCAAAATCCATCAATTAAAGTTCAAATTGTTGGAGCATCCAACGTTTTCACCAAATCTGGCACACCACGACTTCCATTTGTTTCCTGAACTCAAAAAATGTATGCGTGGCAAGCGTTTTTCATCAAGTGAAGAGGTCATAACGGCTGTTGAAGCGTATTTTGCAGACTTTACGGATTCTCACTTCAGGACTAAGATTCAGAGATTGGAGGATCGTTGGTGCAAGTATATTAATGTTCATGGAGATTATACTGAATAATAAAGTATATTTTGAATCATAAAATTGGGTTCTTATTATCAAACGACAAAACTTATTGAACAACCTGGTATGTTCAAGAGTGGCTGAGAAGTGTTTGGCCTTTKTATCAATTGCATCACGCTATTTGCTGATGAGACTTCCGAGCGTACATAGCTAAAGTGAAGYGTTTGAGTCTGTAAAGCCGATTCTTCATCTTAATTGGAGTAGACACCGCTTACGCGATTATAGGCGAGTTAACAACAGCGCGCCAGTCGTTTCTTCTTTAAGCTAYGTGGCGCCAATTGGATAGGACGGTAATTATGAGTGACTTATAAAGTTTGGTTTTTGTTTGTCGAGAGAGGACTTTGCTTCTCAATTGCCTACTCAGTCCGAAGTAGCACCTTTTGGTGAAATTTTCTCTGTGTTGGATTTCGATGCTGACGTTGTTTTTGGTGTTAATACCGGTTCCAATATAGACGAAATTATCACCGACTTCAAAGTTATGACTGTCAACAATGACGTGAGAGCCAAATCGCGTGTGCGACGACTGTTTGTTTGATGRCAGGAGATATTTTGTCTTGCCCTCGTTCACTGCCAGACCCATCTGCTTTGCTTCCTTGTCCAGTCTGGAGAAAGCAGAACTAACGGTGCCGGTRWTGAGGCYGATGATATCAATATTAAAGCCGATTAGCTTACAAAAAATGGTACTGGGAACGTGTCACCTTACCGCAGTTGCAGGCGTTTTAACTAGAGACTATCTAAGAGGTATGTATGTGGAGAAGCTAAAGCTTTTAACGTATGTCAGTTGTTTGGTGGAGGTAGAAATATGTATCCTAGTTATTTTTTTTTCTCGACTATAAAGCTTGCATTACACTGAGGTTGATACACGTATTATTTGTTCTGCAGACTAGTAASTTTACTTTATTTACACTTTCGCGCGTCAGTAATAAATTTTTTGTCCCGTTTGTTCGATAAATAAACATTTATTAGGTACATTTGAATGCAAGTTAATATAAAAAGTATTAAAAATTACAAACTTAAACCTAAGCTTATTGCTCTGCCTTCGCACACGAGATTTATTTCTTCTTATGCGTTCCTCCAACGCTGCCATGCTGCACGGAGTCCACAGCAAGTACCGTGCCCACAGTGTAATCGCTTTTATCATGCGCATCCACACTCACCGACTCGCTGAGCTCCACRTTCGCATGCACTGCGGCATCGTTAGCATTGATTTGCGCCTCTTGCGCCGACGATGTGGCCTTCTCTGCCGCTTCCTTGGTCTCCTCATAATCTAGACGCGCCGTGTAGAGTTGCGATTCTATTTGTTCCAACTTCGATTTAGCCTGTGCYACCATATCGATTTGTGAGGCCAACTCGGCAGCTGCCTCAGAAGCTGCCCTCTGTGTCAGCTCCGCAGCRGATTGTGCATTGTTAAGCGTCGCCGTTAGYACCGACACGTGATTAATGGCTTGTTGTGCGGCATATTGTGCTGTCTTGGCCGAACGTTTCGCCTGTTGCAGTTGCGACAATTCGCCTTCCAAGTTTTTGTGTTCGTCTACATTTTGATCTTCGAGTCGTCGCAAAAGTACCTCTTTACCTTTGAGCACAGCCACTGCGGTACCGGCTGCTTGCGCCGCAGCCTGTGCTAGCGTRCTCTTCGCCACATAGGCGGCTTGTTTGCCAGCRGCATTTTGACTGGCAACTGCTGAATTTGCTTGATCGGCGGAACCTTTGGCTATGCTACGCAGACCATTGTCAATGAGAAATTTCGAAGAGGTGGGGGCRCTGTGCACACTGGAGTGTGAAAGTGTTTGTGTGGGCTTGAAATCGGTTTCGTAATGGTCTATTTCTGACTGAGAGTGATAATCATGYTCGTTAATGTCTTCGTAGGGATAAGGTTCGTGTTCCACCCGATGTGACGCAGCAGTGGCCGGGGATGGTTGGGGCTGTGGTTGAGGWGGCGGTGGATGGTGGGGTTGAGATTGAGCGTGTGGTTGAGGTTGGGAGTGTGGTGRCAGTGGAGGTGGTACACTTAAATAGCTTCCTGTGCGTTTTACTTTGCGTGACGTAACGGTGAAAAATGTGCTCACTGACAAGACCGAAGGAACTGCGTATGAAAAATGTGTGTATTATTTTTCTTAACCAATTACAAAGCACTTACTAAGCAGCAGTAGCACTGTGGCAATGTAGAGGCGTGACATATTTGTTGTTTAAATTAAAGATTATGGAAAATTTCAAAATTTCTGTCGCAATCTAAAAATATAGATAAGGCTTACATATTAACAATACAACATTTTAAGGCTAAAGTCAGATAAATACAATATAAGTATGAGATCGAGAGTTCTTTAGGATGGTAAAAATTGTTGAGGCTCATTTGAAAGATATTTTGTATTAAAAACAAAGCCTTTGATTGGAGTTTAGCTTAAGAAACATCTCAAGTTATAGAAATGACCAAGTATAAGTAATGTATTCTATATTGAAGGGCCTTTCTCGCCAAGATATACTTCTGGTATCCGACGTTTAAAGTTTTATCATTACAACTCAATTTGTTTCCAATGAAATCGCGCTTTCTTAAATGAAGACTAACCGCTGTAACGAGTATACTTTATTATAATACTTTTTACAAACTTCCTGAACTTAGAAAACTCCAGGTCGACAACTATAATTAGATCGAAATCTATATGAGTTCGAGGACAGGCTTATCAGCGCTTTTGTTGGAACCTTTTCTTGTCGAATATTTTTTCAATGGTAATGGTTTAAAGGTTATCCAAGAATATTTAAATTTTTTCGTGACCAGCTAAGTTTTGTGGAARTTTCAGCAACGGTCTTGGCATAATTTTTTTATACGCTACTGTTTTTTTAACGTGAAGATCTTCTTCTTCGAGGCAAAAATTGTATTGCGCCCAGCAAGTTCATGGAACTTATCAAAGTGTTGGGCCTTTGTGAATATATGTGATAGAAGAGAGGCCACAATAGRCCTTAGGTCGCGGTGCAAACCTTAAAATAATTTCTTCTTCTATCTGTGTCTAAATATTTGAAGGATTATGGATGTTAACAGAAGAAGACTTTCAGGTATAACAATCAAAGTGGAAAATTACCAAAACACACAGTGTTTGCTTTATAACTGAAAGATGTAATTTCTTAAAGCGGTGTGTTATAGCTGCAGATCTATCACCAAATTCTTATACGTTTTTTACTGATTTTTTATTTAATAAATTAAGAGAGGTGATCTTTTTAGGGAATGGGAAGGTTCCGTAAGGACRTTTTTCGAAATTAAGAATTATGCCTCAAAGAAAAAACCAAAACATTGATTTTTATAAAATACTATCTTTCCATAAATTGAGACAAATTTCATCTACTATTTTATAAAAACTTCAAAACTCAAGTAGAACGCTATTGAAAACGTTTGTAGTGTCTTAAGTGGTGACCAAACTAAAAATGAGCAAAATTCAATAAGTGTGTGGTTTCCTGAAGTCATCGATGAAATCAGAAATAATGTAGCGAACCGGCGAGTTATCCAGCTCTCACAGGGAAAGCGGGGGAAAGAAAAAAACGCCATTATCTCTATAAAAGTTTCAAGACATTTTATGGTTTATTCTGAGATACACAAAAAAAAGTTTGAAATTTTTAATAAAAAGTACCGCGGAAAATTTTAAAAGAAGCATCATTTGRTCAGCGGTGCGTGTTTTGCTTATCTTTACATAGTTATACTGATCATGAGAACTAGCAAAATATATTTGCCGCTATTTGTTCAGTTTACTTTCCTGAAACATTACCTTCTCGCTAGCTATAAAAATAGTGAGAAAAATAAATGCTGACATACAAAACTGCATCCTGGTGT